TCCCCTGGTCCCTGCAGCATGGAGCCAGGGAGGACACACAGCCCAGTCCTTGAGCTGCTCGTGTGTTGTTCCCAGCAGAAGTTAAGGTGACCAGAGTTAAAGGTCTCCTTTCCATCGCCATCTGCAACAAAACCTCCCCATGCTGCAGGCTTTGCCCCTTCCCCCTGCACTCTGCTGCTGCGGAGAGCTCACTGTGGCAGAGAGGAGAACAGCTCCTGGATGCTGCAGGGCATCCAGCCAGCTGCCCCGGATTTTGGCTGGCATCTCCTACTCCTAGCACCTAGCACCACACTCACAATGGTCAGGAGTCCCACAAGCAGCATTAGCCCCATCACACCTACCATTGCCTCCAGTCCCATCTGAGAACACAAGTGATTTGTCCATCAGGTTGATTGTCACTGGCTCCTGCCTACAGTGAAACCGTGGAGCTGCTCCCCGTTGCAGCTCACTCTGCACGGGGCTGTGCAGAGAAATGAATCATGTCCTGCCAAAACCCAACAAAACCAAAATAAACCCAGGGAAAAGCTGTGGGACAGAACCTTGGAAAACAAGACAGATTCAAAGCATATGGAGGTGCATCTGTTGGGCTGGGACCAGCTGGGTTGCTCCTGACCCTGACACTCCTGGTGTGTGACACGTTTTGCGGGGTGATGGAGCCTTTGCCCACTCTGCAGCTGATAGGAGGGAAGGATCAGCCCTGGTCAGTCTGTATCAGTGACTCCAAAAAGAGATTTAGTGTTTCTCCCAGCCCTGGCAGTGCATGTGCCATGTCACGGCAGCACATGAAATGAGCATCTCAGTGTAACACCGTGGTGCCAGTAACGCCAATCCAGGCACTGGTCGGGATACCTGCACATCTGCATTCCAAGGGTTTTGCAGTACTTTGCTTTACACAACAGCAAAGCTGAAAAACTATTGCTTCACCTCTTCCCACACCAGTGTCTCCTGTTTTGGGGAGGTGTAAGATCTGTGAGCTCCAGTCTCGCTGCACATCACAGACCATTCAGTCCTGGCTGGTGCATGGGGTGCTGGATGGGTGCTTAGAGCCACGCCAGAGTTTGGCGGCTCTGGCCAAGCAAATGCAAAGTCTATGTTCATCTGCAGTGAGTCATAGAACCATAGAATAGTTTGGGTTGGAGGGGACCTTCAAAGGTCATCTAGTCCAACCCCATGGTCATCTTCATCCCCACAACCAAACTCCATGGCCATCAGCCACCTCCGAAGGGCAAAGGGATGGTTTACAGGCAGCAATGTGCTGGGGACTGAGAGAGGTTTTAACATACATGGCATCATGGTCCCTCCATGGCCCTCGTGCTCAGTGCTGTATAAGCCTCAGTGACACGGTGGCCATAACCCAGATCCCTCCGTGTCACTGTCCTCTCCTTCTTCATCAGGAAAAGAGATTTAGCTCAAAAATTAAGACCTGAGGCAACGTGCAGTGCTTTGGCGCTTGCTCCAACAACTGAACTCCAGTGAGATTTTGACCAGGTGCTGGAGGCCTTCCCAGTGTGCACCGTCCACATGACTCAAGACAAATGAAGAGATAAAACCAAAGAGGGGTGGGAGTAGGGGGGTAGAAAAGAGCAGCTTGGGAGGAACAATCAAGATGATTTGAGTGGGTGCAAATCAGGCAAATAGGTTTAGTTCAAGAAGATAAAGGTCTCTGAGGTCTCTGGCTGAACATCAAATCCTGCACCTCTGTTTAGTTTCAAAACATTTTCATTTTGAAACTCACCTCCTGCTTGTTTGCTTTTACATTAAAGGGTTAAATAACCTGGAAAACTAAACAAAACTATTTGCTTTGGGCTAACTAAACTGATTCATTCAACCTACACTGTTCCCTTCCCCCCCTCCAGGTTTTGTCGTTTTGCTTTAAAAAGAAAAAGCAACAGCTTTGAGCTGATCTGATTTTTGTGAGTTTTCCCCTCTCACCCTCCTGCACTTTCTGGTTTGGCTGCCAGGCTGAGAAATCCATTACCCGCAGGGATCCCAGGCCAGCCTAACCCACATCTGACAGTAAAAGAAACCAGATTCTCCATGTCCTTTTAGCCCCTGGCTTCCTTCTTGGGCTTTCTCACACGCCTCCAGCTCCCACTGGGGCCAGTGGCTGAGCTGGGTGTTGGGAGGGAGAAGGACCCTACACAAAGAGGCTGCACTTTCCCCTTGTCTCTGTGCATCCAGCTCTTGGGGTCAGCTCCAGTTTCCAAATACAGCTCCTCATAGAACCACGGAATGGTTTGGGTTGGAAGGGACCTTCAAAGGTCATCTAGTTCCAACCCCCTGCAATGAGCAGGGACATCTTCAACTAGATCAGAACCACATCCAGCTTGACCTTGAATGTCTCCAGGGATGGGGCATCCACCACCTCTCTCGGCAACCTGTGCCAGTGTTTTACCACCCTCCTTGTAAAGCATTTCTTCCTCACATTCAGCCTGAATCTCCCCTCTTTTAGTCTGAAACCATCACCCCTCATCCTGTTGCAACAGGCCCTGGTAAAAAGTCTTTCCTCATCTTTCTGTAGGCACCTTTTAAGTACTGAAAGGTCACAATAAGGTCTCCCTGGAGTCTTTTCTCCTCCAGGATGAACAATCCCAACTCTCTCAGCCTTTCCCCATAGCAGAGGTGTCCATCCCTCTGATAATTTCTGTGGCCTCCTCTGGACGCTCTCCAAGAGGACCATGTCTTCCCTCTACTGAGGACTCCAGAGCTGGATGCAGGACTGCAGGGGGCTTCTCACCAGAGCCGAGTAGAGGGACACATCTTGGCCACATCCCAGGAACAGCCATCGGTGATACCCGGTCCTGAAACCCTGCGAATGCCCAAGCAGCGGTGAGGTGGCATCAGGAAGAAACACCAAGGAGGCAGCAGAGATGGACTTAATATGAACCTTTAATGCACAGCACAAGCTGCCGGGCGCCAGCTGCGCACGGAGCTGCTCCGTCGACTCGCAGTGGTACAAAAGCCCAGCTTGCCTGCAGCATCCCGGCACCCGCCTGGCATCCCAATCTGGGAATGCTGGCTGGCAGCGCGGTGTCACCGGCCACCCACGCCACCTCCCACCACTTCACCGGGGCCCCTCGCCCCGCAGGCAGGGAGGGGGTCACCTGTGTCCAGCAGCTCCCCTCTGCCTGGCGCTGGCCTCCAGCGGGTTATCTCCTCCTATCCAGGGTTTTGGAGCGTGTAGTCCAGGAAATTCAGTAAGAAAAGATTAAAAAGGAGAGGCTTTGATGCTGAGTCAAATTAGGTAATTTCTTCTTGTTTTTTCCTCTTGAAAAATTAAAAAAAAAAAAAAAAAAAAAAAAAAAGAAAAAGAAATTAAAAGTCCAACTTGCTGATTTCTTGTTTCTCTGCTGTCTGTGTGAGAAAGTCCTGTTTGGCCTCGCTGTCCCCTTCCAACCCTTCCGAACACCACCCAACCCCAAACCCCACCAACACTCAGCATTATCATGAGTCCTCGACTCCTCAGAG